TGTTGTTGTTGTGTTGTTGATTTTTGTGTTGGTGTCGATGGTCTTGTTGTTGTTGTGTGGTTGATTTTTGTGTTGGTGTCGATGGTCTTGTTGTTGTTGGTGGTGGTGTTGTTGATTTTTGTGTTGGTGTCGATGGTCTTGTTGTTGTTGTTGGTGGTGGTGTTGTTGATTTTTGTGTTGGTGTCGATGGTCTTGTTGTTGTTGTTGTTGGTGGTGGTGTTGTTGATTTTTGTGTTGGTGTCGATGGTCTTGTTGTTGTTGTGTGTGGTGGTGTTTGTTGATTTTTGTGTTGGTGTCGATGGTCTTGTTGTTGTTGTTGTTGGTGGTGTTGTTGATTTTTGTGTTGGTGTCGATGGTCTTGTTGTTGTTGTTGGTGGTGGTGTTGTTGATTTTGTGTTGGTGTCGATGGTCTTGTTGTTGTTGGTGGTGGTGTTGTTGATTTTTGTGTTGGTGTCGATGGTCTTGTTGTTGTTGTTGTTGGTGGTGGTGTTGTTGATTTTTGTGTTGGTGTCGATGGTCTTGTTGTGTGTTGTTGGTGGTGGTGTTGTTGATTTTTGTTGGTGTCGATGGTCTTGTTGTTGTTGTTGTTGTTGTTTTTGTGTTGGTGTCGATGGTGTTGTTGTTGTTGTTGTTGGTGGTGGTGTTGTTGATTTTTGTGTTGGTGTCGATGGTCTTGTTGTTGTTGTTGTTGGTGGTGGTGTTGTTGATTTGTGTTGGTGTCGATGGTCTTGTTGTTGTTGTTGTTGGTGGTGGTGTTGTTGATTTTTGTGTTGGTGTCGATGGTCTTGTTGTTGTTGTTGTTGGTGGTGGTGTTGTTGATTTTTGTGTTGGTGTCGATGGTCTTGTTGTTGTTGTTGTTGGTGGTGGTGTTGTTGATTTGTGTTGGTGTCGATGGTCTTGTTGTTGTTGTTGTTGTTGATTTTTGTGTTGGTGTCGATGGTCTTGTTGTTGTTGTTGTTGTTGATTTTTGTGTTGGTGTCGATGGTCTTGTTGTTGTTGGTGGTGGTGTTGTTGATTTTTGTGTTGGTGTCGATGGTCTTGTTGTTGTTGTTGTTGGTGGTGGTGTTGTTGATTTTGTGTTGGTGTCGATGGTCTTGTTGTTGTTGTTGTTGTTGATTTTTGTGTTGGTGTCGATGGTCTTGTTGTTGTTGTTGTTGTTGATTTTTGTGTTGGTGTCGATGGTCTTGTTGTTGTTGTTGGTGGTGGTGTTGTTGATTTTTGTGTTGGTGTCGATGGTCTTGTTGTTGTTGTTGTGGTGGTGGTGTTGTTGATTTTTGTGTTGGTGTCGATGGTCTTGTTGTTGTTGTTGTTGGTGGTGGTGTTGTTGATTTTTGTGTTGGTGTCGATGGTCTTGTTGTTGTTGTTGTTGGTGGTGGTGTTGTTGATTTTGTGTTGGTGTCGATGGTCTTGTTGTTGTTGTTGTTGGTGGTGGTGTTGTTGATTTTTGTGTTGGTGTCGATGGTCTTGTTGTTGTTGTGGTGGTGTTGTTGATTTTTGTGTTGGTGTCGATGGTCTTGTTGTTGTTGTTGGTGGTGGTGTTGTTGATTTTTGTGTTGGTGTCGATGGTCTTGTTGTTGTTGTTGTTGGTGGTGTGTTGTTGATTTTGGTGTTGGTGTCGATGGTCTTGTTGTTGTTGTTGTTGTTGTTGATTTTGTGTTGGTGTCGATGGTCTTGTTGTTGTTGTTGGTGGTGGTGTTGTTGATTTTTGTGTTGGTGTTGTTGATTTTTGTGTTGGTGTCGATGGTCTTGTTGTTGTTGGTGGTGGTGTTGTTGATTTTTGTGTTGGTGTCGATGGTCTTGTTGTTGTTGTTGTTGTGTTGATTTTTGTGTTGGTGTCGATGGTCTTGTTGTTGTTGTTGTTGGTGTTGTTGATTTTTGTGTTGGTGTCGATGGTCTTGTTGTTGTTGTTGGTGGTGGTGTTGTTGATTTTTGTGTTGGTGTCGATGGTCTTGTTGTTGTTGTTGGTGGTGTTGTTGATTTTTGTGTTGGTGTCGATGGTCTTGTTGTTGTTGGTGGTGGTGTTGTTGATTTTTGTGTTGGTGTCGATGGTCTTGTTGTTGTTGTTGTTGTGGTGTTGTTGATTTTTGTGTTGGTGTCGATGGTCTTGTTGTTGTTGTTGTTGTGTGGTGTTGTTGATTTTTGTGTTGGTGTCGATGGTCTTGTTGTTGTTGTTGGTGGGTGTTGTTGATTTTTGTGTTGGTGTCGATGGTCTTGTTGTTGTTGGTGGTGGTGGTGTTGTTGATTTTTGTGTTGGTGTCGATGGTCTTGTTGTTGTTGTTGGTGGTGGTGTTGTTGATTTTTGTGTTGGTGTCGATGGTCTTGTTGTTGTTGTTGGTGGTGGTGTTGTTGATTTTTGTGTTGGTGTCGATGGTCTTGTTGTTGTTGTTGGTGTTGTTGATTTTTGTGTTGGTGTCGATGGTCTTGTTGTTGTTGGTGGTGGTGTTGTTGATTTTTGTGTTGGTGTCGATGGTCTTGTTGTTGTTGTTGTTGGTGTGGTGTTGTTGATTTTTGTGTTGGTGTCGATGGTCTTGTTGTTGTTGTTGTTGGTGTTGTTGATTTTTGTGTTGGTGTCGATGGTCTTGTTGTTGTTGTTGTTGGTGTTGTTGATTTTTGTGTTGGTGTCGATGGTCTTGTTGTTGTTGTTGTTGTGTTGTTGATTTTTGTGTTGGTGTCGATGGTCTTGTTGTTGTTGTTGTTGGTGGTGTTGTTGATTTTTGTGTTGGTGTCGATGGTCTTGTTGTTGTTGGTGGTGGTGTTGTTGATTTTTGTGTTGGTGTCGATGGTCTTGTTGTTGTTGTGGTGGTGTTGTTGATTTTTGTGTTGGTGTCGATGGTCTTGTGTTGTTGTTGGTGTTGTTGATTTTTGTGTTGGTGTCGATGGTCTTGTTGTTGTTGTTGGTGGTGGTGTTGTTGATTTTTGTGTTGGTGTCGATGGTCTTGTTGTTGTTGGTGTGTGTTGATTTTTGTGTTGGTGTCGATGGTCTTGTTGTTGTTGTTGTGGTGTGTTGTTGATTTTTGTGTTGGTGTCGATGGTCTTGTTGTTGTTGTGGTGGTGGTGTTGTTGATTTTTGTGTTGGTGTCGATGGTCTTGTTGTTGTTGTTGTGTTGTTGTTTTGTGTTGGTGTCGATGGTCTTGTTGTTGTTGTTGTTGTTGATTTTGTGTTGGTGTCGATGGTGTTGTTGTTGTTGTTGTTGGTGGTGTTGTTGATTTTTGTGTTGGTGTCGATGGTCTTGTTGTTGTTGGTGGTGGTGTTGTTGATTTTTGTGTTGGTGTCGATGGTCTTGTTGTTGTTGTTGTGGTGGTGTTTGTTGATTTTTGTGTTGGTGTCGATGGTCTTGTTGTTGTTGTTGTTGGTGGTGGTGTTGTTGATTTTTGTGTTGGTGTCGATGGTCTTGTTGTTGTTGTTGTTGGTGGTGGTGTTGTTGATTTTTGTGTTGGTGTCGATGGTCTTGTTGTTGTTGTTGTTGGTGGTGGTGTTGTTGATTTTGTGTTGGTGTCGATGGTCTTGTTGTTGTTGTTGTTGTTGATTTTTGTGTTGGTGTCGATGGTCTTGTTGTTGTTGTTGTTGTTTGTTGATTTTTGTGTTGGTGTTGATTTTTGTGTTGGTGTCGATGGTCTTGTTGTTGTTTGGTGTGGTGTTGTTGATTTTTGTGTTGGTGTCGATGGTCTTGTTGTTGTTGTTGTTGTTGATTTTTGTGTTGGTGTCGATGGTCTTGTTGTTGTTGTTGTTGTTGATTTTTGTGTTGGTGTCGATGGTCTTGTTGTTGTTGTTGGTTGGTGTTGTTGATTTTGTGTTGGTGTTGTTGATTTTTGTGTTGGTGTCGATGGTCTTGTTGTTGTTGTTGTTGGTGGTGGTGTTGTTGATTTTTGTGTTGGTGTCGATGGTCTTGTTGTTGTTGTTGTTGGTGTTGTTGATTTTTGTGTTGGTGTCGATGGTCTTGTTGTTGTTGTTGGTGGTGTTGTTGATTTTTGTGTTGGTGTCGATGGTCTTGTTGTTGTTGTGGTGGTGTTGTTGATTTTTGTGTTGGTGTCGATGGTCTTGTTGTTGTTGTTGTTGGTGGTGTTGTTGATTTTTGTGTTGGTGTCGATGGTCTTGTTGTTGTTGTTGTGGTGGTGGTGTTGTTGATTTTGGTGTTGGTGTCGATGGTCTTGTTGTTGTTGTTGTTGTTGATTTTTGTGTTGGTGTCGATGGTCTTGTTGTTGTTGTTGTTGTTGATTTTTGTGTTGGTGTCGATGGTCTTGTTGTTGTTGTTGGTGGTGGTGTTGTTGATTTTGTGTTGGTGTTGATGGTCTTGTTGTTGTTGTTGGTGGTGGTGTTGTTGATTTTGTGTTGGTGTCGATGGTCTTGTTGTTGTTGTTGTTGGTGGTGGTGTTGTTGATTTTTGTGTTGGTGTCGATGGTCTTGTTGTTGTTGTTGTTGGTGGTGGTGTTGTTGATTTCGGTGTTGGTGTCGATGGTCTTGTTGTTGTTGTTGTTGGTGGTGGTGTTGTTGATTTTTGTGTTGGTGTCGATGGTCTTGTTGTTGTTGGTGGTGGTGTTGTTGATTTTTGTGTTGGTGTCGATGGTCTTGTTGTTGTTGGTGTTGTTGATTTTTGTGTTGGTGTCGATGGTCTTGTTGTTGTTGTTGTTGGTGGTGTTGTTGATTTTTGTGTTGGTGTCGATGGTCTTGTTGTTGTTGGTGGTGGTGTTGTTGATTTTTGTGTTGGTGTCGATGGTCTTGTTGTTGTTGTTGTTGGTGTTGTTGATTTTTGTGTTGGTGTCGATGGTCTTGTTGTTGTTGTTGTGGTGTTGTTGATTTTTGTGTTGGTGTCGATGGTCTTGTTGTTGTTGGTGGTGGTGTTGTTGATTTTTGTGTTGGTGTCGATGGTCTTGTTGTTGTTGTTGTTGGTGTTGTTGATTTTTGTGTTGGTGTCGATGGTCTTGTTGTTGTTGGTGGTGGTGTTGTTGATTTTTGTGTTGGTGTCGATGGTCTTGTTGTTGTTGTTGGTGGTGTTGTTGATTTTTGTGTTGGTGTCGATGGTCTTGTTGTTGTTGTTGTTGGTGTTGTTGATTTTTGTGTTGGTGTCGATGGTCTTGCTGGATGATGGGGCCCCTCTGAATCTTTGCCCAGGGCCCCTTCAGACTCTAGACTCGCCACTGTTCATCCTTCAGATTTCAGTTTGTTTTTATAAAGCTGTGATTTCAGAGGCAGCCTGAACGCACCGCCCACCTGAGTTCACGGCGACAGGTAAAAGTTTCTTCTTCAAGCTGTTCATGTAAACAGACTTTATGAAGAGTTTTATAATAAAGTCTGTTTGAAATATTGTTATAGGTTAAAGTTTAAAGTGAGTAAAGGTCGTGTGATCTCTGACCTCCTTCTGTTTGTTCTGTTCACAAACATTTACATTAAACTTATTATGTTTCAGGGTCTCCTAACAGACCATAATAACTCAAAGTTAATCTTCATGATGTGATTTACTGGTTTTAAAATCACAGATTCTTCTTCACCAGTTTTGCTTGGTCACTGCTAGGCTAGCTGTGTTAGCTTCCTCGTTTAGACCAGTTTAGACCGGTTAGAGCTGGAGCTCCATCTTTAATTAATTTTAATTTAATTCGTTTGAATGTTCGTGAAGTGTCGATGATGGAGGAAGACGTGGTTTCACATTGGTTCATTACTTTTTCCTCAAACTTTAAGCAGTAGCTAACAGCTAATCGAGGCGAAAAGTTGTCCGGATGTGACGTCATCAGACGCTTGTTTGTGTCCGGCGGTGGGCGTGGCCTGACAGTAATGTAAACAGCTATCCGTTCAGCAGCAGACAGAGGAGCAGCTTCTGGACCCGTTACCGGTAAGATGTGAATCAGAAAACCGACTGTTGGCCCCGGTGTGATGGAGGAGGTCAGTGACGTATCTCTGACGTCAGCTGCGTTTGTTGAACAGCAGCTAACTCTGCTAAGTTAGCTCTTCTCGATAGCTCAGGTTTGCTAGCTTAGGGAGTTGTTGCTGCTTAATGCTGAGCCGTCAGTAACCCGGATGTTCCTTTATGATCTTTATAATGTCAGATAAATGTTTCTTTATGATCTTTATAATGTTAGATAAATGTTTCTTTATGATCTTTATAATGTTAGATAAATGTTTCTTTATGATCTTTATAATGTCAGATAAATGTTTCTTTATGATCTTTATAATGTCAGATAAATGTTTCTTTATAATGTCAGATAAATGTTTCTTTATAATGTCAGATAAATGTTTCTTTATAATGTTAGATAAATGTTTCTTTATGATCTTTATGATGTCAGATAAATGTTTCTTTATGATCTTTATAATGTCAGATAAATGTTTCTTTATGATCTTTATAATGTTAGATAAATGTTTCTTTATGATCTTTATAATGTCAGATAAATGTTTCTTTATGATCTTTATAATGTCAGATAAATGTTTCTAATGATCTTTATAATGTCAGATAAATGTTTCTTTATGATCTTTATAATGTCAGATAAATGTTTCTTTATGATCTTTATAATGTCAGATAAATGTTTCTAATGATCTTTATAATGTTAGATAAATGTTTCTTTATGATCTTTATAATGTCAGATAAATGTTTCTTTATGATCTTTATAATGTCAGATAAATGTTTCTAATGATCTTTATGATGTCAGATAAATGTTTCTAATGATCTTTATGATGTCAGATAAATGTTTCTTTATGATCTTTATAATGTCAGATAAATGTTTCTAATGATCTTTATGATGTCAGATAAATGTTTCTAATGATCTTTATGATGTCAGATAAATGTTTCTTTATGATCTTTATAATGTCAGATAAATGTTTCTAATGATCTTTATAATGTCAGATAAATGTTTCTTTATGATCTTTATAATGTCAGATAAATGTTTCTAATGATCTTTATAATGTTAGATAAATGTTTCTAATGATCTTTATGATGTCAGATAAATGTTTCTAATGATCTTTATGATGTCAGATAAATGTTTCTAATGATCTTTATGATGTTAGATAAATGTTTCTTTATGATCTTTATAATGTCAGATAAATGTTTCTAATGATCTTTATAATGTCAGATAAATGTTTCTAATGATCTTTATAATGTCAGATAAATGTTTCTAATGATCTTTATAATGTCAGATAAATGTTTCTAATGATCTTTATGATGTCAGATAAATGTTTCTAATGATCTTTATGATGTCAGATAAATGTTTCTAATGATCTTTATAATGTCAGATAAATGTTTCTAATGATCTTTATGATGTCAGATAAATGTTTCTAATGATCTTTATAATGTCAGATAAATGTTTCTAATGATCTTTATAATGTCAGATAAATGTTTCTTTATGATCTTTATGATGTCAGATAAATGTTTCTAATGATCTTTATGATGTCAGATAAATGTTTCTAATGATCTTTATAATGTCAGATAAATGTTTCTAATGATCTTTATAATGTCAGATAAATGTTTCTAATGATCTTTATGATGTCAGATAAATGTTTCTAATGATCTTTATAATGTCAGATAAATGTTTCTAATGATCTTTATGATGTCAGATAAATGTTTCTAATGATCTTTATAATGTCAGATAAATGTTTCTAATGATCTTTATGATGTCAGATAAATGTTTCTAATGATCTTTATAATGTCAGATAAATGTTTCTAATGATCTTTATGATGTCAGATAAATGTTTCTAATGATCTTTATAATGTCAGATAAATGTTTCTAATGATCTTTATAATGTCAGATAAATGTTTCTAATGATCTTTATAATGTCAGATAAATGTTTCTAATGATCTTTATGATGTCAGATAAATGTTTCTAATGATCTTTATAATGTCAGATAAATGTTTCTAATGATCTTTATGATGTCAGATAAATGTTTCTAATGATCTTTATGATGTTAGATAAATGTTTCTTTATGATCTTTATAATGTCAGATAAATGTTTCTAATGATCTTTATGATGTCAGATAAATGTTTCTTTATAATGTCAGATAAATGTTTCTTTATAATGTCAGATAAATGTTTCTTTATGATCTTTATAATGTCAGATAAATGTTTCTTTATAATGTCAGATAAATGTTTCTTTATAATGTCAGATAAATGTTTCTTTATGATCTTTATAATGTCAGATAAATGTTTCTTTATGATCTTTATGATGTCAGATAAATGTTTCTAATGATCTTTATGATGTCAGATAAATGTTTCTAATGATCTTTATGATGTCAGATAAATGACAGAAGCTGTAACTCGTCCTCCTCAGTCTCACAGAAGTCAGTCCTCATGACTCTACCATCTGGTCCTGTTCACATTGACCTCCCCCCCCGAATGTCCCTCAGGTGTGAATGGTTGTCTCTGTATGTCGGCCTGTGATTGGAGCAGCCATATGGATAATGGAGGGATAAACTAACGACCTGTTGTATATTTGTTCACTTTTCTGTCATGACGATGAAACTTTAAATATCAAACATTTTGAAGTGTAAACTGGCTCCAGTTCTTCCTCTTCCGTCCATGTTTGATGATGTCACTCACCGCCACAACAAACATCCCTCATTAGGTTTGAGTTACCAACACAGGGTGATGGAAGTCTGTCCAGCTGCATTGTGGGAAATGTAGGATCCAGTGCTCGGGGTTCAGCTTCTCTGTTTGTGTGTTACCATCATATCAGTGTTAATTAATAGTGTGTTGTTTGTGTCTCTTCAGACTCACTGGATGCTCTGCTGACAGGAAGTCTTTGTCCTGCTGACGGACGACTTCCTGTGTAGGAGAGGAGCCTTCATGTCTATTTTTAGAACTATTAAATTCATGACAAAGGACTCGACTTGAGCGAGAAGCTGTAAGTGGTGTTCAGTGTCAGAACGCATCAGCAGACAGAAAAGTGTGTTTACATAAAACAGGAGATTTCTGTGAGGATCCTGTGGCGGCCATGTTGGCGCCTCAACTGCTGCCTCCGTCCTCTGTCACCTCTCCTCCGTCTGAGAGCAACGTTTAGTTTGTGATCTTCTGAAGAGGAGGGCCTCGCTTTCGTGATTGATTTTTTGTTCTCAGAAGTTTTCTCTCCTCGCCTCTAACTGTCCGCTGGTCATGGCTGAGTCCAGCTCTGACCTGCTGATCGATCTCAACAAACAAACAACACCTCTACCTGCAGAAAGCATCTCCAAAGAACTGATTGTTACCATGACAACAGAGAGGCCCGGAGACCTCACAGCCGATGTCCTGAGCAGCAACGGGGCTGCCAACAGTCCTCTTCCCACTAAAGTCCAGCAGCAGGAAGAGGAGGAGGCCACGCCCACGCCGCCAGAGACCTCATCATCACTGTCGTCCGGAAATGGGACAGTGACCGCCATTACCACAGAAGAAGAATCTCTGTCAACGCTGCTCAGACACATCAAGAGTGTAGGAGGAGCAGACAGAAAAGGAGAGCCAGGTAAGGATTGTGTATGAGTGAAGGAGTTCATGTCAGAGGCATCATAACATATAACATATATATATATATATATATATATGTTATGATACATGTATCGTAACATATATAGCATAACATATATGTTATGTATATCATAATATATATATTATATATATCATAACATATATCATTATATATATCATAACATATATATGTTATATATGGGCCTGTGTGTTATATATATATATATATTATGATATACATATATATATCATAATATATACATAATATATGTTATGATATGATATATTATTTATATATATATATATATATATATATACACACCATGTATATGTTATAGAAGAATGAGTCACGCTGTTAGAGACACATGGAGACAGATTCCTCTTCCAGTTGAAATCTCTTCGGCTCTTTGACTCCTCAAGGTGATGTGTTTAACATGAATGAGGGCTCGCTAATATTACCTTCAATGCAGGGGTGTCAAACTCATATTGGGTCGAGGGCCGGATTTGTTCCAATGAGACCTCCAGTAGGCTGGACTCGCTATAACCCTAAACATGTAGTCTATATGGGCTGAAGTATTATTCTTCTAAATCAAAATAAGATACTTGTATCGAGGACTTTATGTTAACAGTAACAGGTCAGGAATAAATGATTTTATCCTTTCATCAGATGATAAAAAGATCAGTTTGATCACAGACTAAACCTGCTCACATGTTGTCACAAACACACAGACTGTCTTTGATGTAAACAGTTATCTTCAAGTATTTTAGTGTCAGACATCAAATGTTTTCCAACAGACGTGCAGTCTGATCAGCTCAGTGTTGAATTCACTTTTTCATCTGAATAAACTCAGTTAAACCACTTTTAAAATGCAGTCCGTTCTTCTTGGTGTCCGTACTATCCTGATCTAACTCTATCACTGACTTTTATGAATCTGTGTCATCTCCGTGCGTAATTCAAGGAAGAATTTTAAAGCAGAGGACGTGATCTGTGCGTGATATCGTTTTCAGATAAGAAGGAAATGTTTACGGTCTGATGAGAGCAGGAAGTGATTAAAGTGAAAAGTGATGAGGAAGCGTTGTTATGATCAGACAAGAGAAAGTGAAGTGACAGAGCTGGAGACCGTCAGGATAAGCGTGCAGCGGCGTGTGTGTAGCTTTGATAACATTTGGATCAAAGTAAAGAATCGCTCGTTCCATCTGTCTCTCTCTTTCTGTTTCACAGCAGAACTCTGAAAATAAGTTTGAATTCACTAAAGTAAAAACATTCTGTGAGCGCTCCGCTCCTCGCTCGGTTCTGACCCGGTTTGAAGACGTGTTCTGTATCTGACTGAACACTAACTGAACTGACCACAGAGGGCGCTGTTTCCATGACAACACCTGAAAGTGACTTTACATGGTTTCTCTGGTTGTTCTTTGTTGTTCTGGGCTCTGATTGGCTGATGATGAAGAGTGGAAATGATTTGAATAACAGGTTTAGTTCCAGCACTGAACGTGGTCTCTATGGTGTCTTCAGGTCTGGATCTGGACCTGGAGGAAGGCTCTTCTGTGGCAACAGCGGGCGGCTCAGACGACCAGCGGGAGTCCACAGACTCCGCCTCCTTCTCCATCCCCAGCCTGTCTGACGGCATGACCGCTGCAGGAAACTCCCTGGAGGTGGAGGACGGCTGCTCCTCGTCGTACTCGGCTCTGGGAGTGGAGGGCCGCTCGCCGTCCACCGAGATCCCGAGTCTGAAGGATGAGGAGGCGCAGGAGGCCACAGGTGAGACGCTCAGGTGTTTCCTGTCCAACAGGACCAGGGGGCGGGACACTAAAGGACCAGGGGGCGGGACGCTTCAGGGTTAACTCAAAGATCGTTCACTTGTTACCTGGGGTGCCATGAACAGGATCCTCCCAGACCGAGAGTTTTTACTTTCTATATTTCCTTAACTACTCACTTTAAACAACAACAACGTTTAACAACAACAACAATGTTTAACAACAACAACAATGTTCAACAACAATGTTCAACAACAATGTTCAACAAACAATGTTTAACAACAACAATGTTTAACAACAACAATGTTTAACAACAACAATGTTCAACAACAACAACAATATTTAACAACAACAACGTTTAACAACAACAACGTTTAACAACAACAACACGGGGAGAAACATCTCTGAATGTTTGTTCAGTTAATCAGCAAGAAGTTTGAACAAACACGACAAAGAGATCTGAAGCTGAGAAAAAACACACACACACACACACACACACACACACACACACACACACACACACACACACACACACACACACACACACACACACACAGAGTAGTTATGTGGTACCCAATAGGAGAAGACATTTGGCGACTCGTCATATTAACCTCTTCCTGCTCTCTTTGTGTGTTTGTAGTTGCCCTCCTGCCCACAGAGGGCGCTGCTGCTGCTGCTTCTGCTGCTGCTGCTGCTGTGTCAGAGTCCGGGCCGTCCATGCCGGCGTATTACCTGGTGAAGTGGATCACCTGGAAAGAGAAGAAGACTCCCATCATCACGCAGAGCGAGAATGGACCCTGCCCCCTGCTGGCCATCATGAACACGCTCTTCCTGCGCTGGAAGGTAAAAACAAAACCTAGAAATGTAAACATGCCTGAAGGAAAACCAAAACAAACCTGCAACCATTAAACTGTAAAAGAGTGTTTGTGTGTATACCTGCCCTCGTCTCTCCCACCTGGCTCCTCTAAATCCACAAAATACTCTGAGGTGTGCAACAGGCGGGGGGGGGGGGGGGACATGGGGGCGGGACTGTGAAGGAGGATTTGGGGTTACAGGTCACTTCAGGGTTAACTCTGGTTCACTTGTTACCATATCGCCATGGTAACCTATGCTGCACACCTAACCTGCTCCCGGTTATGTTGGAGAGATCAACCTGTGGAAGTCTCCGCCCACTGACCAATCAGATGTCTTGGAGAGGGGGGAGGAGTCCCGTATAATAACATCATAGTCCGTAAAGTGAATGATTATTTTTAACTGATATCATCCTTCAACAGAGACTTAAAAAAGTGGTTTTAAGATGTTAAATGATATTAAATATTTCATTATAATGTATTTCTCATCAAAGCGCTCAGTGGTTATGATCAACATCTAAAGGGTTAATTTAACATTTTGATGAATGAAATCAATCAAACAAACCGCCTTCATCAAAAAACGAATGACTCTTTGATCATTTAAAACAGTCCCAACGTGAATATGGATAGACTCTCACATCTTTATTTTAATAACTTTGATTTTGTTTTTGTTCTTGTTCAGGCAAAACTTCCTGCTCAGACTGAAGTGGTGACCACGGAGGACCTGATGGCTCACCTGGGTAAGAGCACACACACACAAAGTTTTCTGTCCACAGGGTCACCTGTACCTATTGTTAATAAAGTTTTCTGTCCTCAAAAAAAAAAGTAGATCTGCGTTTGGCAGATGAACAGAGGAAATAAAGGCAAAGCAGTAGTCGCTGCTCTTTAACCAATGAGGTCCTTACCAATGAGGTCCTTACCCAATGAGGTCTTTAACCAATGAGGTCCTTACCAATGAGGTCCTTACCCATGAGGCGCTTAACCAATGAGGTCCTTACCCAATGAGGTCTTTACCAATGAGGTCCTTACCCAATGAGGTCTTTAACCAATGAGGTCCTTACCAATGAGGTCCTTACCCAGGAGGCGCTTAACCAATGAGGTCCTTACCCAATGAGGTCTTTAACCAATGAGGTCCTTACCCAGGAGGCGCTTAACCAATGAGGTCCTTACCCAATGAGGTCTTTAACCAATGAGGTCCTTACCAATGAGGTCCTTACCCATGAGGCGCTTAACCAATGAGGTCCTTACCCAATGAGGTCTTTAACCAATGAGGTCCTTACCCATGAGGCGCTTAACCAATGAGGTCCTTACCCAATGAGGTCTTTAACCAATGAGGTCCTTACCAATGAGGTCCTTACCCATGAGGCGCTTAACCAATGAGGTCCTTACCCAATGAGGTCTTTAACCAATGAGGTCTTTAACCAATGAGGTCCTTACCCATGAGGCGCTTAACCAATGAGGTCCTTACCCAATGAGGTCTTTAACCAATGAGGTCCTTACCAATGAGGCGCTTAACCAACGAGGTCCTTACCCAATGAGGTCCTTACCAATGAGGCGCTTAACCAATGAGGCCCTTACCCAATGAGGTCTTTAACCAATGAGGCGCTTAACCAATGAGGTCCTTACCAATGAGGCGCTTAACCAATGAGGTCCTTACCAATGAGGCGCTTAACCAATGAGGCCCTTACCCAATGAGGTCTTTAACCAATGAGGTCCTTACCCAATGAGGTCTTTACCCAATGAGGTCCTTACCAATGAGGCGCTTACCCAATGAGGCGCTTACCCAATGAGGTCCTTACCAATGAGGCCCTTACCCAATGAGGTCCTTACCCAATGAGGTCCTTAACCAATGAGGCGCTTAACCAATGAGGTCCTTACCCAATGAGGCGCTTAACCAATGAGGTCCTTACCAATGAGGTCCTTACCCAATGAGGTCCTTACCCAATGAGGCACTTAACCAATGAGGTCTTTACCCAATGAGGTCTTTAACCAATGAGGTCCTTACCCAATGAGGCACTTAACCAATGAGGTCCTTACCCAATGAGGCGCTTAACCAATGAGGTCTTTACCCAATGAGGTCTTTAACCAATGAGATCCTTACCCAATGAGGTCTTTAACCAATGAGGTCCTTACCCAATGAGGTCTTTAACCAATGAGGTCCTTACCCAATGAGGCACTTAACCAATGAGGTCTTTACCCAAAAGGTATTTAACCAATGAGGTCTTTACCCAATGAGGCACTTAACCAATGAGGTCCTTACCCAATGAGGTCTTTAACCAATGAGGTCCTTACCCAATGAGGCACTTACCCAATGAGGTCCTTACCCAATGAGGCACTTAACCAATGAGGTCTTTAACCAATGAGGTCTTTACCCAATGAGGTCCTTACCCAATGAGGTCTCTAACCAATGAGGTCCTTACCCAATGAGGCACTTACCCAATGAGGTCCTTACCCAATGAGGTCTTTAACCAATGAGGTCCTTACCCAATGAGGCACTTAACCAATGAGGTCTATACCCAAAACGTCTTTAACCAATGAGGTCCTTACCCAAACGCAGCAGAGAAACTAAATTTCAAACGTCCTGAGGAGTGAACACACACCTCAGTAACCTTCAGCACTGTGGATGTGATTGGCTAATGCGTGTGTATGTGTGTGTGTGTGTGTGTGTGTGTGTATGTGTGTGTTGTTGTGTAGGAGAGTGTGTGTTGTCTGTTACACCCAGAGAGAAGGCTGAAGGGATGGAGCTCAATTTCCAGCAGGTATGAAAATACTTCAAATTCAAACAACATAAATCAGAAACACGACCTGAGAAACATCCTGTGTGTGTGTGTGTGTGTGTGTGTGTGTGTGTGTGTGTGTGTGTGTGTGTGTGTGTGTGTGTGTGTGTGTGTGTGTGTGTGTGTGTGTGTGTGTGTGTGTGTGTGTGTGTGTGTGTGTGTGTGTGTGTCTCTGTCTGTCTCTCTGTCTGTCTATCTGTCTGTCTGTCTGTCTGTCTGTCTGTCAGAACATGAGTGATGCCATGGCGGTGCTCCCGAAGCTCTCCACAGGTCTGGATGTGAATGTGCGATTCACAGGTGTGGCGGACTTTGAGTACACGCCTGAGTGTATCGTGTTCGACCTGCTGAACATCGCGCTGTACCACGGATGGCTGGTCGACCCCCAGGTAACACCCGCGAGCAGGTTGGACTTCTCCTGTGGTTAACCCCCCAGATTTAGATAACGTGTGTGTGTGTGTAGAGTCCAGAGATGGTGGCCTCTGTGGGTAAACTGAGCTACAACCAGCTGGTGGAGAAAATCATCGACTACAAACACTCTCCAGACAGCTGCAGAGTCAGTGAAGGTAACACACACACACACACACACACACACACACACACACACACATACCTTCAAGTCTCTTTCCCAGGTTAAATCAAAAAACACGCCTCTGATTGTGTGTGTGTGTGTGTGTGTGTGTGTGTGTGTGTGTGTGTGTGTGTGTGTGTGTGTGTGTGTGTGTGTGTGTGTGTGTGTGTGTGTGTGTGTGTGTGTGTGTGTGTGTGTCTCTCTGTGTGTGTCTCTCTGTGTGTGTGTGTGTGTGTGTGTCTCTGTGTGTGTGTCTCTCTGTGTGTGTGTGTGTGTGTGTGTGTTTACCCTCCAGGCCTGGTGGCGGAGCAGTTCCTGGAGTCCACGGCGACCCAGTTGTCGTATCACGGTCTGTGTGAACTCAACACCACGGCCAAAGAAGGAGAAATCTCTGTGTTCTTCAGGAACAACCACTTCAGTACCATGATCAAACACAAGGTGGAGCTTCACACACACATCACACACACAACACATCACACACACAACACTCACACAACACTCACACACACATCACACACACACACACACATATCACACACACACATATCACACACACAACACACACACACACACATATCACACACACACACACACACACACACACACAACACACCACACACACAACACACACACACACACACACACACACACACACACACACACACACACACACACATATCACACACAACACACACACACAACACACACACACATCACACACACAACACTCACACAACACTCACACACACACACTCATCATCACTTCACCATTTATTACATACAGGAGAGAGAGAGAGAGAGAGACACACACACAAGAATCAAGAGTTTTTAGAAAGAACCTGAGAAAACAATATCTAAATCTCTTAAAACACCTGTTATCTACCTGTTGTTAATAAAGTTTTCTGTCCTCAGGGTCACCTGTACCTGTTATCTACCTGTTGTTAATAAAGTTTTCTGTCCTCAGGGTCACCTGTACCTGTTATCTACCTGTTGTTAATAAAGTTTTCTGTCCTCAGGGTCACCTGTACCTGTTATCTACCTGTTGTTAATAAAGTTTTCTGTCCTCAGGGTCACCTGTACCTGTTATCTACCTGTTGTTAATAAAGTTTTCTGTCCTCAGGGTCACCTGTACCTGTTGTCTACCTGTTGTTAATAAAGTTTTCTGTCCTCAGGGTCACCTGTACCTGTTGGTGACAGATCAGGGTTTCCTCCAGGAGGAGGGTTTGGTTTGGGAGTCTCTTCATAACGTGGAAGGAGACGGAAACTTTTGTGACTCAGACTTCAGGTTGTGTCATCCTCCTCAGAGAGCTCCGCCCACCGCCGCCCTGCCGCCCACCGCCCAGGAGCAGCAGCGACAGATCGACCAGGTGAGTCTGTGCAGGTGTTGCTGACGGAGCAGAACGGTCTGTAACAGCTCAGTGGTTGATTATGTACTTCCTGTCAGGACTACCTGGTGGCCGTGTCTCTGCAGCAGCAGCAGGGCGGGGCCCCGGGGCCCCTCAGTGACCTGGAGTTGGCCCGGCAGCTCCAACAGGAAGAATACCAGCAACAGCAGCAACTGGAGCAACTCCAGCAACAACAACAACAACAACAACAACAACAACAACAACAACAACAACAACAACAACAGCCACAGGGAGCAGTACCGGCTTCACAGCAGGTAACACAGCCAAGCTTTGTCTGACCAATCAGAGAGCATTCCTCATCACACTTGAAGTAGTAAAGACAAACTGGTCCATGATTCAGACCAGAGCAAACGATGGAAGAGTGATGAGCGCCATGTCTTTGTGTTTCCAGGTGAGAGGCTCCGGGTCCCAACAGGGCGGAGCCAGAAGACGAGAAAAGGATTCAGACTGTGTCCTCTTATAGATTCTTCATCACACTCACACACACACACACACACACACACACACGCACACACACACACAGCCTGTCAGCTCGATGCCAAACCCCATTGCTTTGTGGTTCCAGGTGTTTTAGAAGGTTTGGAGACTCCTGATTGGACGTTCTGTCTGTAAACACGTTTGATTTGTTCACTGTTTATAAAGATGGACGACGCCTCTCCTCCTCCAACAGTTGTACATAAGTGAAGCCAAAATACGGCCCAGCACAAGTGCTGACATTTTAACCAGAGTTGAGTAGTAGATTGTTGCTGTAATTAAGCCCCGCCCCTTCCTCTAACACACATGTACCTTCCTGCTAAAAGGTCAAAGGTCACTCAGGTGGGTTCATTCGCTTCGTAGCAGAAAGTTCATGATCCTGTTTGTCACCATTCCTCCTCTGATCATCAGTCAGCAACACAGGAGCCTCATTGGTCACAGCTGTCAATCATGACATCATCATGAGATCATTTATCTGACCTGTTTTTAGATTTGATATTCTCATCTGTTAACATGGAGGAGGCAGAGCTCTGAAAGTTTTGGCTTCACTTTTGGGGAGCTGTCCTGTCGTCCATGTCTTTAAACAGTCTGTTTGATTACTGGTGAATAAACCAATGAACTCTCCACGGCTCTGCAGGGAGATTGACTTCCTGTCTTCACTTCCTGTCTGTGTCATGACCTCTGACATCAAAGGGTTAAAGGTTAATCTGAGAGGTGGAAATAAAGAACGCATTAACGATCTGAAAGAATCCTGATGACCTCGTTAACCCTTTCATTCAAGTCGTGGCGGTGTCTCGATTACCCATAATGCCTCTCTCTGAGTTAGTTCTGCTTTGTATTTAATCTGTGAAGCGTCAGTAAAAAGTTTGAACTGTCTTCGGTGTCGTCTCCGTTATTTCCACGTCGCGACTTCTGTCAAGGAAACGAATAAACAACAACAAAGTCATTTTTAGAGAAATCATCGAGCTCTAACGAACGAAGAATTCTGATTCGTTTGTTTTGAAACGCCACCAAGTGGTTCGTGTTGGGAAGTGGAGTACGCCAGTGTGAACGTGTTCGGTTTCCATGGTAACAAGGAAAGAGGAGTCGAGCTGCTTGAATTGATTTAGTGTTTAATGTTTAGTATCAACAGAAAACTTTTCAGAATAAAAGAAGGCATCGAGCCGGGACGACTTCAACCTGACCACTTCCTGTCCACATACACACTTCCTGTCTGGATGCCAGAGGGGACAGGAAGTGGTTTCAGAATGAAAAGTCGTCCCTAAAGCGATAAAACATTTGGGAATAAAAGCACTTCTCAGGTCGGCGACCTCTTCGAGAGTTCGTACGTCAAAAGGCATCGTACATTTACAAAGAGGAGCAGAACATCGGTTAGCAGGTTAACGGTTAGCAGGTTAACGGTTAGCAGGTTAACGGTCAGCAGGTTAACGGTCAGCAGGCTAACGGTCAGCAGGCTAACGGTCAGCAGGCTAACGGTCAGCAGGTTAACGGTCAGCAGGTTAACGGTCAGCAGGCTAACGGTCAGCAGGCTAACGGTTAGCAGGTTAACGGTCAGCAGGCTAACGGTCAGCAGGTTAACGGTCAGCAGGCTAACGGTCAGCAGGCTAACGGTCAGCAGGCTAACGGTCAGCAGGTTAACGGTCAGCAGGCTAACGGTTAGCAGGCGGTAACATGATGCATGAACAGATCTGTGCTTCTCCTTTAAAAACACCCAGAACCTCCCGATGTAAACCCAGAGCCGGCTTTGTTCCAGTGATGATTGAAGAGTGAACAAGGTTTTTACTCTGCGCTGATTTAAATCAAACTGGACGTGACCCGCGACTGACGGGTCTAAGACACGACGTCTCAAAGGTGCCATTACAAAATAAAACAGTCAGGAAACAGATTACAAAATAAAACATTCAGGAAACAGATTACAAAATAAAACATCCTTATAAGGAAAATAATGTTCAGTCGCTGTCTTTAATCCTCAGAGCTGTCTCATCTGATTGGTCAGAGTTATTGACAGGAATGCATCTCCAGACCAATCAGAGGAGAGCATTTGTTAAATATGAAAACATGTTAGACATTATTACAGAGATGTAGAGATACAAAGGAACATGGAGGTTTCACCATCAAACTCGGTGGCCATTTTGGCTCAAAGTGCAGAAAACGGTTAATAGATGGCGTGTTTGCACGGGGAAACTTTGTCCACGCTCATGTTTTTATTCAACACTAGACTTTAGTTAGCATTAGCATCCTTAGCATTAGCCGTACTGAGATTGTTAAATCTTTACATGTTTGTGAACTTTAAAGACTTCCTGTTCCCTGTCAGGAACTTTCAGGAAGTGTGAGTTTTAGATTCCAAATTTAAAACCAGGAAATGTCTCTGTCGGGCTTCCATAGTTCTCCAGTTGAATGAATGAAACCATCAATAAGTTTCATTAATAACATCAAAAGATCGTTTTTATCCTTCATCAAACACTCTTAACGTTCAGACACAAACAGGAAACACTCGAGCACGGAGCAGCGAGGCGGCGCTGTGTTTGCTGGTCGAAGTGAAATAATCGTAGAATTATTCTCAGAAAGAAGAAGAAGAAAGTCTGAATCCTCCTCATGTCCGATCATGTGCAACTTAATGCAATGCTGTACTTTCCCAGGAGCCCATGAACGCAGCACTAAACCCAGATCATGTGATTTTAACGAGCTGGTCCTGAAGGAGGAGTCACATGATGCCGTTGGTGACGTACTGGAAGGAGTCGTAGAGTTTGGTGGTC